GCCCGGGCGTCATAGATCACCTGTCACATCACATTTCAAGGGAGTATTAGCTGCAAAATTCTCTCTTTCTATCCAATAATGTAACTTCTTTCTTTGATCTTCTCCTCTTTGTGAATCTGCACAGATTCATGCATCTCAGATCTCTCCACCTTGACTTGTCTCTTTGCGAGAGGTTACTCTTTGAGTGCGATACAACTATGTTAATGTATACTCCCTTTTTTTTTTGCATAATAGCTCTTTAATCTTCACTCTTCAAGGTGGAAGTTCACACTTCTGTTGAGGTTGTTGTTAATATATTATGAACTCATAGCTGTATATTGCATTATTCTCTCGTTCTTTTTCAAAAGTATGTACAGAAACCGAGGATTTCTGTTGTTATTTTTATGAACCTAGCTCATTATACTGTAATACATGTAGTAGATAAGGCTTTTTGCATTTTCCTTTCAATATTGAATTGGACTCTGTCACATTGTTATTCTATTCCCCCCCTCCTCTTCCACACATTTACAATTTTCTGACTGTTACGCCATCTTTGAAGTCACTTTCTTCTTCTTGCTCGTTGCCCCCTTCTCTTTGTATCTGTCAGTCTGCTATAAGTACGGTGTGTAGTTTAACAGGATGATTTGTTGACCCCGGAGTCGTCTGTCACCAAAAGCTTGAGGATAAAATGAGAGAGTGAGCGACACTGTCTTGTCTGTAATGAATTATGCAGAGGGGGGTCAGAGGCCTCTGTTGTGGTTACGGTCCACAGCACAAACACGGACCTCAGGTAGTGCTCTCATCAGTCCTGCTGTTTCCCACCATATGGAGTCAATGAACTGGGACACCCTCCTACACAGACCCACACACGTACACACACACACACACACACACACACACACACACACACACACACACACACACAGACACACACACTGTCCTAATGTACGCATTCACATGTGCCTGCAGACAAAAGTTCATCACAATCAGTACATTGATGGAGAAATATGTTTATTTTAAAATTCTGCAAATAGACCAATCATGATAAAAAAAAATATTAGCCTATTATATCTTTAAATCATAATTGGATAAATCGATATTGATGCACACACACACACACACACACACACACACACACCACAACAGGATTTATATGTGCCTGTGGGGAAAAACAGTGATACAGTAGATATCAGAAGTTCTAAATACGTCTACAATGTTGTCTACAATTTTCTATGCGACCCTTCAAAATAAAAGTCAGTAAGTCATAGATAGATATAGCGTATAGTATCTTATTATATTGTATGGTATTGTATCATTAACCTGTCCTTATCTAATGGTCACAGGGTGAATCTGCTGATGAGGAAAACAGTGCTAAAAATAAAATAAAAAATAAAATGCTATTTTTAAATATCCTGAGTGTTCTTCACAAAAACATAAATATTCGGGTTTTTTTTTTCTCATGTCTTTTAGTGTTTACAAGGATGAAAGATTCCCAGACAAATTGAATCACAAGTTCCCGCCTCTGTACAATTGAGATATCTGATACAGACGATGGGCCGTATAATGAATGCCTAATTTATGTAATTAGACCATTAAGCATAATCCGAACATATGTTGTAAATGCCCGGAGGTCTTCTTGCAGGTACTCCCTCTGATGTCACCAGCATGCTAATGGAGGGGCCTGATGGGAGGACTCTAATCCAGCTCTTTGATAAAATAAACAATAGCCTACATATTCATTGTATTGTGATTTTTACCTCTCTTTTTTTTATATCTCTGAGCTACAGAATAAATTCAGAATTTATATTTCTATTAAAAAAAAAAAAAGCAAAGGAGGGGGGACATGAAGATGGCCTTTAAGTAGTGTGGGTATCCCGTCATATCTGCTAAATTTGCCATTGAGGAGGCTGTGGTGAGAGCCCTCTGTCTGCTAATTAATTGTCACTCCGCTGAATATTCATACCTTCTCATCAGCGCGTCCTTAATTGCACCGTAAAGCATCTCTTGGGGCTGAAATCACCGCGGACTTCATTAGCAGCGCAGGGCTAGTGGATGTTTTAGAGTCTGCAGACAGCAAACTATATGTACCTGCTTATACATCGTGAGCATGTGTTTAACACATGCAGGGGACAGGTAGCTCACAAATCCATTTAAACTTGCAGGATAATCCAAGAAAAATGTGAATTATTCAAATAGAAAATATTAGAAATAATAGCCAACTCATAATTCACCTGAAATCATATTTGAAATATTTATGAATAATTGTTCTAGCGATTACTTTTGTATTTATAGGTTGATTGGTTACCGACATTTTCTATGCATTGCTTGTAATCAGAAATATATTTACCTATGAATAAGATTTAAAATAAAATGATGAGTCATTTTAAATCAAAATACAAAACATTTGAATTTGTCGTCCAAAAAAGTAGAGTCAGAACACTGGAATAAGAAATTTGATCTAAATAGAAAATGTGTTATTTTTAGTAATTGATCTGTGTTTAAAATGTAGTTAATCCTTTGATTATTTGTTTTATGATAATAAGCATCACCATCCGCTTTAACTTTCTCTTAATCGCTCCTTGAAAGGCAAGGGTTTTTTTTCTCTCTCCCTCCGCAGGTCTGGGTGGCAGCAGATCTCAACTCGATTCACTGTGACAATATTGTTTGGCTATCATTCGCTGCTTTAAGCTGAATGGCATCGATCCTCTTTTAACAACATTTGTTTCCTATTGTGTTGGGGGGAGGGGGGGTGCAGCAGAGGAGGGCAGACGTGTGAAAGTGGCTGTTTGATTCTCTTTTTCATCCCCATGACCTCAGCTTTTGTGTCTCATCACCCTGGGAATGTCACGCCTCACTACTCTACTTTAAGATGTTTCAGAAAGTGCCCTTTGTTTTCGCTCCTCTCTTTTTTTTTTTTTTAAAGCTCACACAAAATTGTTCTTGGTCCCCCTTCGCGTTATAAAGGATACTTCAGGCTGAGGCACGGTTCACAAGTGCAATGCAATTTGGCTTATCCCAACCTTTGTTCGCGCTTCTACAAATGACCAAACATAGTGCAGACTTGATCTACTGCTGCTTGAACTCCGGAGTTTGGGAGCGGCTAAAAAAAACCCTATTCAGATTCAGAGTCATGGTGGTATTTTCACTGTGTGCATTGGACGGAGACAAAAGGGCCTACCAATATCCCATAACCCTGTAGCTCAAAAAGCCACACCGTCTGTGTGTGAGAGGAGAGAAGAAGAAGAAAAAACTCTTATGCTGCTCTGTGGCTGGTTAATTCGAGTGTTGTAGGTTAACGTGCAACACACAAACTGGTTTGCAAAAAAAAAGTTATAAAACAAGAAAAAATAAATTCGAAAAATGTAGTATTTCAAGAAGAAAACGAACATTTGTAATCGTGCGTAAAATGGCACGTATATAGTTTAATTTAAATAGCTCTTATTACTAACATTTCACAATCATAAACAAATAAACAAATCTTTGAGTTACAAATTCGGAGTGATTCTAACTTCTTTGTACATATTAACCCGGGTGAGAGCCACTCATATGATACGTGTTGAATGAATGAATGGATGGATTGATGAATGGGGTAGATGTCACAAGATGTTTGGCACTTGGCAGTGTGTTGTCATTATCCGCGGTGTGTGAGATGAGTCGACCGGGCCACTTCCTTTTGGACTGAACCTTTTGAGCTGAACATTAATGTGAGATGACAGGTGTTAAAAGGCACTCTGCGGGAACACAAAGTGAAACTGCACGCTGCAAGTTTCAGACACCGGACACATTAACAAAAAGACTTTTCTTGATTTATTTAATTTTTCTAGATTTGAAAAAAAAAAAAAATCCCCAATTTATTTGAAAATATATGGCATATTTGGAGCATTTGGATGGCATTAGTGTCTTTATTTGTTCTTCTTCGTTTGTTTAACAGTCCTAATGCAGCATTGAGGACTCTCTCCTCTGCAGCCTGTTCAGGTTTTCTGGGTGAAAATAGCTCAGTGTCCCCCCGCAATGCGATTCTTTTCGTAATCCGTCAGACTGGTGATGGGGTGCATTGTGGATTTATGGGGGGAAATTAGCATAAATTATGAGCAAATCTGCGTGTGCGTGTGTGTGGTCCCTGGCATTGCAAACCCTCCAAGCGGAAAAGGTGGCCCTGGCCAAAAGCTTGAATGGCAATAGCTCAAAATAGGCTTCCCATTTGGTTTTCACATTCATATAATTGACTTATGGATATTTTATACAGTTTTCAGCACACCATCCTCAAGGGTTTATTTGCATTTGTGAAGTACTCTGGAATCTTCTTTACATAAACACAATAGACCTGGACGCCTCATGAAGTTTCAGTTTGGATAACGTTGTTTGCATTGTGTTGATGTTTTCATATCGTTACTTCCTTTGCTCAGCTACAAACTTACTCATGCAGGTGAATTATTTTGCATCGCATTTTATAAACAAAAAAACGAGTAGATTCAGAGAAAAAAATGCATTTCTGTCCCTAAAATAAGACGTATTTAAAAATATATAGTATATATCTTCGGACTCATTAGTTTCAGCATGCAAAACAGTTTTTGGAACACTACTCTTCACAACATAACTTCAAAAATAAGACAATTTTTAAACCTCCGTTTTAGAGCACATATACCTTAGCATAAATACAGTTAGACTTAACTTTATGAGCGATTTCCTAAAATGCCAAATACATTAAATGTCCATTCACAGTCCATATCTACCCGTGAATTAACCCGTAAAAGTCCGCTGAAGAAGCATTAGCGCATACCTTCACACACTGAGTGCCATCGCAGTTCAATTCCGGTTGTCGAGCCTTTTCACCCCTTTTTCTGTCTTCAAATGGAAATGATTTCCATTGGCCCAAGGTGTCCATGTAAATAGGTGTAAATGAAACCAGATTATGCCTTCCTCCCAGCCGCCCCCCCCGCCCCCCCTCCTCCCATGGCAATTGTCATGTGATAGCAAAGAGGTGGCACATTAATGGAGCGCCTCTACAGGGGTCTTTTCTGCTCATGTCACTACATAAAACTATCAGATGGTTAGAGGAAGGCCATGTAGGCAGCCACTTAGCTCGTCTTACCGAGGACGCCAAAAGAAGTCTATTCAGCTCTGCTAGCAGGACAAGCTGACTTACTTTGCGAGAAAGACTTAGAGCAGCCGTCATTCCATAAATGTACACCGCCCGCCCGCCTGCTCACCGCAGAGACGCGCAGCCTGGCTCTTTTACGCACGACTCAACGCCAGCTTTTGCCTGCTTTTAAACTTTCCTCAGTGGCTGTTTTCATGAAGAGCGACCAGCCTTCGCCAAGGAATTAAAGAGGGACTACTTTTTATTGATTTTTCTGAAAATATCGAGGATGCCTCGTCCGGGGAGAAACACGTACAGCGATCAGAAGCCTCCTTACTCCTACATCTCCCTCACTGCCATGGCGATCCAGAGCTGCCCGGAGAAGATGCTGCCTCTAAGTGAAATTTACAAGTTCATCATGGATAGATTCCCGTACTATAGAGAAAACACTCAGCGGTGGCAGAATTCCCTGCGCCACAACCTGTCCTTCAACGACTGTTTCATCAAAATCCCCCGGCGTCCGGATCAGCCAGGTAAGGGCAGCTTCTGGGCTCTGCACCCCAGCTGCGGGGACATGTTTGAAAATGGAAGTTTCCTGAGACGCCGCAAAAGGTTCAAACTGTTGATGTCAGCCGATCACTTGGCTCCCAGTAAGCAGTCAGATGCTGCGCATTACCTCCAGCAGCAAGCCAAACTGAGGCTGAGCGCCCTGGCAGCCACCGGAACGCACCTGCCCCAGATGTCAACCTACAACCTCGGAGTGACTCAGACGTCAACTTTCAAGCACCCGTTCGCCATCGAGAACATCATCGCCAGAGAGTACAAGGTCCCGGGCAGTCTGGCCTTCTCCACCATGCAGTCCATGTCTGCCGGGTACCCGCTGCACAATCAGCTGACCACAGCCTGGCCCCACATGTACAACACCAGCATGATTGACACTGTCGCTCCAATCTCCATGGCGAGCAGCGACTACAGTGCGTACGGCATGCCCATCAAGTCCTTGTGCCACGGGGGACAGTCCTTACCCGCGATTCCGGTTCCCATCAAGCCCACCCCGACCTCCATGGCGGGCTTCTCGGCGTTACCTCCACACATCCCCGCGTTTCTATCAAACTCTCCGCAGTCTCTGAGCCCGACGTCCCCACAGACAGCGACTAGCCAAAGCAGCCCAGCCACCCCGAGCGAGACTCTGACGAGCCCGTCCACACTGCAGTCTGTGGCTGTGCACTGACCACATAAACTGGCCCACTATTAAAAAAAAAAAGAAAAAAAAAAGAACTGCTGGCTGGCTCCCAGGCCCTGTTTATTGATCCCAAAGTTTATATTTTCTGTCGTCGGAAACTATCAAGGCGAGTTGCAGTTGCATATCGATTTATTTGTGTATGTGTTGAATGTGTCGCTTTAATAAATCGTGTCATAAAAGTCCAGCACAGAATCGCACAGCGAAGTATTGCTCTTGAAAATATAAATTATTTGATAGTTCTATTTTCAGTTGATTGTGACATGTGAGTGTTGGAAGTGGAGCCACAGAGTCAGTTTGTTTTTGGCACCATCGACTCTGCTTTGCTTCTAATTCCCGTGGCAGATTTGTTCATTTTGTTTTAGTCTGATGAAAAAAAAAGCAAATCGTTTGCACCGTTTCTGTGTGACCCCTGTAATGTCAATGAAATAACGAGGCAATGGTTTCTGTGTTTTTGTTTGCTTTTAAGACTGGAACCATGGAGGAGGGGGGAAAACCAAATAGGAATAGGATTTAGATTTGTTCTTATACCATCCCTGGAAAAAAACGAGAGAGCAAACTGGAACTCTTTTCTAAGTGGAAAAAGTATTGTGAGATGTCCTCAAAATGCAAGATGTGAATATTGCAAATAACTGATACTGAAATGTTGTAAAATGCACTTTTTAGTTTTATGTTTTAGATATCTATTTTCCAGAAAATCTTCTGTGAAGCATTTAATTTAAAAGGCTGTGGTGACCATGTGTATCAGATGCTGTAAATTTGTACTTTTTTTTTTTTTAGGTTAAAGCATGCATTCTAAAAACAATTTGTGTTGTTACTGTTGCTGTTATTGTTGTTGTTTTGTTTGTTTTCTTATTTTTTGCAAGCATGCGTGCTTTGGAAAACAAATGTTCAAACAGTCTGCAATGAATTGGATAAAAAAAAAAAAACTGGTCATCGAATTTATTTTCTCATTAAAAGTGAAGTAAACAATCAACAATGTTTCTGGAGAGTCAATCAGAGAAGTCAAATTATTGTTGGTTCTGTTGTTGTGGTTATTATTAGTGTGAGAAATGTGGATGAGTCATTATTTCAAGGAACATATTTTTAAATGATCACTCTGTTGCTTCAACCATTTAATAATAATTATAATAATATTAGTAATAATAATAATAAAGGTTTTCTGGTAGGACCTGTATGATTTCAGAGTGTGGGGTCTGCAGAGCGTCAGTGTGCACAGAATGGATGGTGCAGTGCATTAGGATGCATGGAGCTGCGATGCCATGGTCACAGCGCAGACAACTGAGCTCATTCATCAAGCTGCTGGCTATACACAATAAATCCCAACAATAAACATTTAAAGAAGCTGCACACACATTCATATTGTTGCTTTTCTTTTAGGAAAGATTCAATAGGTGGAACGTTTTTTTTTTCTCTCTCCCATTTAGAATTGACTGAAACTGTCTCGATGTTATTTTGCGAATGGACAAAATGCAACAGGTTTAGAAACGGAAGGACTCCAAAGATGCAAAACATTTTTTTTTCTTCATTATTCGATTCGACTCAGAATACCTTCAATACAAAAAATAACGTTATTTCTCTTCCCTCTCTATAGCAGCAGCCCGTCGCAGGGTATTAAACAAATACATTAGAATTCCGTCACTTTATGCAATCGAGTAGATCAAATAAAGGCTCTCGGGCCACTTCATTCGCCCTCATTCACTTGAATTGAAAGTGCAAAGAATAGCAAAGTTAGACTGGGCCACCAATGTAGATTTAGCCTTTTTTCAGCGAGACAAAAAGACTGATTTTTCACAAACACATTGCTGACTGGGGAACTAGGAAACGAGCTGCAAGACCCTTTTGGAATTTAAATCCACCCCTCCCCCACGGACTGTTTGGACAACACTGTTAGTTTTTTTTTCTTTCCTCCCCACTTTGTGCATTTGTGTGTGTAACATTTATTCTGACTCTGAAAGATTAAATTAAACTCCAAGGTCGGATTACACGCTTTTTTTAAGGAAAGGAAATCTGGCTGGTCGTTAGAATTACATTAAACACATATATTTTTTTTTTCTATTCTTTATGGAGCATACAAAAGCAACTTAATCCCCCTATTTCAATACATAAAATATATAGAGAATTTTCTCTCCACATTAAGCCTATACTTGTGATATTTTCCTTTAAAAAAAAAAAATCGTACTTAAATGATGTAGTACATACAGTATATAGTTGAATGTTTAAATTATATAAAAATAATCCTAAAATGTTAAATGTATAAGTTTAACCAAAATGTTTAATTTGATGTAATTATAGGAAATATTGCACATACAAGTATCATGCAGTACGTTTTTTTCTTCATATTTTTTTATGGCTGTTGCAGGCAAATTACTGAAATGTTGCAAATTTTTTCCAGTCTCCAAAAACTTATTTAGGGTGTTGTGTGGCTTGCACCTGGTTCCATTCCCAATGTAGAGAAAACCTCTAATATTTACTTGCTTTTTCCCCCAAAAAAGTAATTACATTTAACCCCTTAAGTGTCACTGCCATAACATTCATGAGGCAGGTGCTGGATAAAAATAAATAAATAAAGACACACACACACACACACACACACACACACACACACACACACACACACACACAAAACTAGATTAGACATGAGCCAATCATCTCTGATTCCCAGCACTTTTGAAATTAAAACTATTTTTTAACTATTCTGAAATTATGAGCAATTTAATCACACACTCACCCTAACATCAAACACTTGAGCTTTTCTCTCCTCTTGTAATACAAATACAATCTGTCCCTGTTCTTTCAGTCTATTACTGAGACATTATTTCCTCAGTTCAGTAGCATCAGAATGAACTCAGTTGTATAATCCTCGTCTGACTGCATCGTCCTTGTTCTCTCCACTAGGTTCCACTTAGACAAAGAAGAAGGTCATCTCAGGCAGGGGATGAAATATAGACCACATGCAAAACCTCAATGTTGTAGTTTAATTAAAATAATTCATTAAAGTGGAGGCCCTGGGTAATTAGCATGTATTATTTATGATTTGCTTAATGCATGCAGGCAGTGGCCTCCGCAATAAACTCAACTTAACCTCAAGTAGGGAAGTGATACGGACAGGCTGCTGTTATTTACTGTGTGTTGTTTGGATATTTGTAAAAAAAAAGGAAGCAAGTGTTTCATAAAAAAAATAAAGATAAATAAATAAATGTAAATTTTCTGGCCTCGTCTGCACACAAACAACTTATTTGTCTACGAGTTTATCTTGTGGATTTATGCTCACTTAGAAGTGAAGCTGTCAAGATTTTATTTGGCAAGGGGGAGATGTTTGGAACTTTTTCTTTTCTATATATTTATTAAACATTATAACATAGTATATGTTTTCAAGAATTCTTACCGGTCACTCGTGTTGAAAATAGTTTCCGCTGCCTCTCTGAACTGACAGAATGAGGACATAGCAAAAGGCAGCAGACTGTCAGCGCCGACTTTTAGAAGAAGAAGAAGAAGAAGAAGAAGCTAAATAATCAGCAATAGACAAAACCTGCATTAATTATACTCTGCAAATGTGTCAATCCCTGACAGGCCCATGACATCTTCAAACATGGCCAGTGGCTATATTTGATTATTTCCTGTAAGTACATGTAGTTTTTTTTTTTTAGAAAAAACAACAAAGTAAAACAAATATTTTTAGATGGAGCTGTGGGCCATGGTAAACAGATTTATTTTAGTGCTAAATAGACTGAAACTGGTGCTCTCCTGAAGGGTTGGAAAGAAACCACAGAGGGGAAAGAAATGTTCTTAAAACCTTTTTTTTTTTTTTTACAAATCAAACACAATAATATCTTGATAATATCTTACTGAGGATTACATTTCATCAGAAATCATCCCCGAGTTTTGTTTGACACCTTAATAGAATTTGGAACAAAATCCCACATAATCATTGTAACACAGTGTGGTTAACTCATCTGTCATAATGGGTGACTCCCAGGCTAAATACATGACATGGTCGTGTCAGAGGGCAAATGTCAGGTATAGTAGGCAGCTGCAGGAACAGGCAGGGGAATGCACCAGCATCATTCAAGGCTGGCTCAGCCAAACACCCATGTGTGCATGAAATTAGAGTGTCAACATCTGATTCATGCTGCTGGGTGGTGACTGTGAAACAAATTATTGTCAGCGGGTGGCAGCGGCATAAATTCCAGTGAGCTGAAGCAGACAGTGGCTAGCGTGGACGTTACAGCAAGCGATCCCGTTCCATAAACCGGGGTGAAACTTTTTTGTAATGGGATACAAATTCAAAGGTTCACAGTTCATAGCCGTGCTCTTCATAGAAATAAGTGATTGCATTTCAAGAGGTGTGTCTGAAAGTGTTCTCGAGCTGTGAATTTTAACTCATCTTATGGAGGTATGTGTTAAAAAGATCTAATGGTTCCAGGAAATGGAGTGATAATTGTTATTCGAGATAAGGATGCATATTGTCACAGACAGGGTGTGTGAGGTGCAAATGAGAGCTACTGTGGCATTTCAGCAGCAAAACAAGTCAGACCAAGGAAACACTGAAATCTTTTTCACTGAGACTTTTAAAAGTGATTCAAAAAGAAAAAAAATCATCCTCTGATGCTTTTAATATCTTTTCATCTTTTCTGTCTTTTATCTGTTTTTATGGAGTGTGTTAGGATAGAGGACTTTGATGTAATGATTCAAATGTTGCATTAAATAAATGGACTTTACGTAGCAACACTATTAGATGTATGTTTTTCTTTTCGCAGGTCACCAGTTTAGCCTTGCATTGACAGTTACTGACATCAGTTTTTCTCACCTAAGAAAATGTGATGCAACACTACCCTGCGTCTTGTTACATAGATGAATCCCTCGTTATTGGCGTGTGAGAGTCGGGCGGGTCGAGACAAGGTGAGAGAGATAAGCAACAGATTCATCAAACTTCAGGCTCCAGCCCTGTCAAACTCAACCTGCAGCCATTACGTCTGACATCTGTCTCACTCCTTCTTCTTCTTCTTAAATTCAGTGTTAAAGTGGGTTAAAAAAAAAATGCTTCACATCCTTAAGAATTGGTCATGTTTGACATGGCCTTGTTGTTTTGTGTAAATTGTAAATGAATCTATTTATCCCCCTGTGAATAATATTGCATGTCTGTGTAGGGCGTGTCCTTAGTGTCTACTTGTCTTGTCTAGCCTTGAAAATCTGCTCCACTTTGGAATCATTTTTAAAAGAAAGTCCCACAGCAAAACTCCGACCAAATGTCGAACCTCAGTGTGGGAAGGCAGCTAAATACAAACAAGCAGCTTTAATGAAGGTACTTAACAGATTTGACACTGCAATGTTTTCCGTTCTCAAGTGCTTTAGCTGCTAGGTGTTACAACTGTAACAGAATCTGTGGATTTTAGCAGCCTGCTATTTCCCCTTTTAAATGTGGGACGAAAAGCTCATTTATCACTTCACTTTGGGATCTTATCGTCCCCTCTCCAGCCATAAACTAACACTTACAAAGGACTTCAAAGGTGCGCCAGATAGCAGAGGTGAGATCAGGGGGCCTGCATCCACTCGGGGCCAGTTCCCTCCCAGAGATGAGATGGAGCTGATTAGCAGGAGTGTGCGGCGAGCCCCGTGGGGGCAGCAGCTGGAGGAACACTCCCGGGAGAGGTGTGAGTTTTGACAGCTCCTGTCTCTCCCCTCTGGATACCGCAGGGTCAGGGCACCCTCAGCGGGGCCCGGGCTCCTCGCTGGATAGGAAGTCAGCAGTAATTGCCATTCAGCCGGTGGGACAGAAACAAGAGGCAACAAAAACCAGCGAAAGAACACACAGCCTGTTTCCTCTTTGTCTGGATGTGTTTGAGGAAGGATGCTACCTCCTCTTGGACAGAACAAAGCCGCAATAAACTTCTCACAATTACAATCTTGCAGAAGTTGCAGAAAAGGGGGACGACATAACGGTCTCGCTGCACACTCTGGGCCCATCTCCTCTCC